TAGGGAAAGCTTGTCTTGTTTGCAGCTCCATTTTCCTTGTAGAAACTAAATTTATCCCATTAATCTTCTCACCTGTGTGCTAGTGAACCGTAGAATACTGAGCGTTGGCTTCAACAGTTTCTTATTATCAAGAAACAATAGAATTTCTCTTTGGTTGTTAACCTAAAAAACACTCTACCTGAGAGCAAGGGATTGAAGATTTTTCAAGAAAGTAAGGAAGGGGTTGAGGATGAAATAAGGGCAATAACAATGAGGCTTTCAAATCTCTAATATATCCAGCCATTTCCTTCCAGCTTAAGAATGATCGAACTGGTTATAGAACACACTAAAGTTCAAATGCACAAAGTAAGAACAGTTAATGCATCACTCACACTTTGTTCCTGAAATCTCAGCGACAAAAGTTAAGCACTGTTCATAAATCAATAAACTCACAGAAAGAAGCACTAACCTAATAGGAGTTTCAGGGCTTAAAAGGTCCTGATGAATAGCAAAAACAGTGAAATGATATGATTCCTTCCAAATCTTCTCCTCAAGCAAGTTCATTTTGGTGGTCCACTTCTATCAGGAGTAATGTCAAATTTGGTATTCCTGACAATATATGTCACATTCATGATTCGGAATGCTGGAGATCAGAGTGTTATCACCTTGCCTCAACAGTTATGTATACTGCTAATGCTGTCTGGATGAGAATATGTTATTCTAACAACTAAAATTAGAAGAATAAAGTTACTGGGTTGTTATGAAATAATAGGACTACATGTTAAAGTTAATTGAATTATCTATAGTCTACAAATCATAGTCAAATTGAATCGTGTGCATATAAAAATGACAGCTTCAATCATTTAATATTTCTTTTTATTTGAATATGACTCTTGAACATCCTTAATTCTTAATTTCTGGCAGCTACTCTTGGGTTATTTATCTCCTTCTCATGATTTGTGGGAAAAGGAGTTAACCGAGAATAGACAAAAATATGCTATGCTAAAAGAGGAGCTTCTACTGAGTCCTGTAAGTTTCTGACTGCTCTACCTTCACATCTTAACTTGGTTTCTTAATTTAGTTACAGGTGAGTTTCTCACTCACTTGTAATCAGGAGTTATTTTTATTAATGGTTTCAATGTTCTAATCAAATATTGAATCATTGAATCTAGACAGTCAGAGTACACCAGAGTAAAAGAAGATGCAATGATTTCTGCTGAGCTGAGTGGTGAACATGATGATGCCGGACCACTTAAGCGACAAGGAATTTCTCATGGAGATCACCCCCTGAGTATTGTTAAGGCTAGTGCTTGGCATCACTACTTCAAGGTAAAATTCTCCACCATCCTTAGGTGCCTGGAAATCCTTGTGCTGAGTTATAGCTGATGAGCAACACTGCATTGATATAGCATACAGAGATTGCAGAACAGATTGATCGTGATTTGCTGCGCACACATCCAGATATGAAATTCTTCTCAGGGGAGTCCTCATTCAGTAAGAAAAATAGGGTATTTCTTGCCCCCTAATCCACTCTTCTGCTCTTTCATTTCTATTCCTTTTGGTTGAGTCTTTGTTGATGCTATAGTCCATAGTCCTTGTTCTCCTTGATGAAAACCTCTTTTCACTCAAATCCTCAGCCACTTGATGAAATTAATCTTTTGACAAGTTGCATAAAACAACAAGTTGTATTCATTGCAGCCGTAGCAGTTGTAGTTTAATAGTAAACGAGAATGGATTCTCTCTTGACAGAATCCTATGATATATTTTCTGTCTGCAGGAAGCAATGAGGAACATTCTTCTTCTATTTGCAAAACTAAATCCTGCCATTCGTTATGTTCAAGGCATGAATGAGGTCTTGGCGCCAATATTCTATGTATTTAGCACTGACACTGATGAACAGAATGCTGTAAGAAATAAAGTCTGCTTTTGGTTCTTATGCTTTAGATCTTTGTATTTCTTGTTGATAACATGATCCTGAAATCATGAAGACAATGTCATTCAACTGAATCTTTTCCTCACTAGAATCCTTTCTACCATTTAGTTTTTCATCTTATTTATTTATGTAATTTTGGCACATTAATAAAACTTCTAGAGATGTTGTCGTCTCATAAGAAATTCATATGATTTTTAATGGATAGTACGGATGGTTGAAATTTATACTATTAGGTACAACAATTCATTCATAGAACATGGGACACAAGCTTCATAACACTCATCAGCTCATACTTCCATATTTGCCAGCCAGTTGGATAATAAATGTGAATTGAAAGATTCCTGTAAAGGTGAAAACCAGAAAGTCCTAAACAGAAGGCAATTCTTTTCACAACCCTAGTCTATTATGCAGGTAAATGCAGAAGCAGATAGTTTTTCTTGTTTTGTTCGATTGCTGAGCGACTCAGTGGATCACTTCTGCCAACAGTTGGATAATAGTCCAGTTGGCATCCTCTCCGCTCTTTCCCGCTTGGCAGAATTATTGAAAGAAAATGATGAGGAATTGTGGAGGCATCTTGAATTCACAACCAAGGTAAATATTTTCTTACTACATGTGATTGTGATAGATGCACATTTAATTCTTAATTGTTGGTTAAATTAAATAAACTTTCCATGGTTCTGAGTGCCTTGGGCCGACCATGTGAGTACCTTTTCTTCTGTTTAGCTGGGAACTATGCTAAAAGGCCCTTTGAGATTCTGTTCATCATATTTGGATCAAGTGACGTGAATCTTGGAAGCTTACGCCATCTGTTCAAATGAGCAGGTTAAGCCACAATTTTATGCATTCAGGTGGATCACTTTGCTACTCACTCAAGAATTCAACTTCCAATCCATTTTAAGAATCTGGGATTCTCTTTTGAGTAATCCTTTCGGGATTCAGGTACCTCAATCCCTCTCAATCTCTCTTCAGACTAGCTAACCATAACTTAGCACTTTCTCTCCTTCCCAATATCTTGTGGTGACTTGAACGAATGTTCCTCACGGGATGCCGGGATGCAAAATCAAATCTGTGCAGGATATGCTATTGCGGATCTGTTGTGCAATGCTATTATGCACGAAAAGCAGGCTATTGAGTGGTGATTTTGCAGCTAACTTGAGGCTTTTACAGCACTATCCTGACATCAACATTGAACACCTTCTCCGTGTAGCTCAGGATCTAAGTGCAAATACTTCATCCTACAGTTTATCTTTGTAAATAGAACTTGTTATGGTTCTTTGTATACAACAGTTTTGCATAACAAGTGCTGTATTTGACCAAACAAGATATTGAGGTATTGCTGTGAGTTTCTTTTGAAGTTTTTCCCTTCCATCCTTTTCAGCTGAAATAAGTATCAACTATCTAATTTTCTAGCCTTTAAAGTTGTGCTGTCGCACAAAATAAATAGTCATATCTTGATTTCAAAAAAAAAAAAAAAAAACAACAGAAATCAAGATATGACTATTTATTTTGTGCGACAGCTCAACTTTAAAGACTAGAAAATTAGATATTTGATGCTTATCTATTTTTAAGCTGTCACACAACAAAATCAAAAGGCTCAGATTAATTACTATAACTGGCCACTTTGATCATAGATGGATTAAGATCTTAAATAAAGACCACAAAACTAGACACAGATTATAGGAACTTGGAGGCTCGCGAAGTGTTTTTTCCCAATTCCTTCTCTATTGCAGTTAATGATATAAAGTACAAACAACGAACATCAAATCTAATTTTGGATGCTATTCATGGTACAAGCTCTCAATAGGAAGCGATTGGTGCTGAACGTGTCCTAATGGACAAGCTTGGGGACCTCTACTTTAGATCATGACTAGCCAGTCCACTTGCACGCACATCCCATTACTGAGGATCACCTGCAACAGGAACACTCAGTGCTTTACTATAAGCAGGAGATTGTTAGACCATGACTTGCCATGCCAGTTGTGTCCCTGTCCCATATTTAATTGGAACTACCTGTAATAGGTATTGGGTAGGATCAGTTTCTTGTCTTAATTCGTTCATAGCAACTTACTGCCCAGGCCTAGCTAAACACAATGCATTTCATGTGGTGGTAATTTTTATTTTCTTATCAGGATTCAGAATGAAGACTAGTCTTTAAGCAGTCTGACTTTTTGGTTGGTCCATATATAATAAAACCTTTGAACATGCCTTTTCATATTTTACAAGTCTACACAGCCCCGTCCCTATCATATCTATGAACATAGTTGTTAGATCGGCGTCAGAGATTGATGTAGAAAAGAACTGGGTGGGCAACTGGCAAGTCATTAGATTAACTCATGAATCTCCAAGTCAATTCGGACCAGTCATTTTTATTAAAGTGGAATTTCTAGTTAATTTTTTATATAAATCTTTTGGAGTTGATATAGTTAGGTTTGGTCCGAGTTTAGCTAAGTCAACTAAGTTATTAAAAATTTGCTAGGTCGACTAGATTTTACAGGGTTAATTTTCTTCTTAGGTTCAATTTGAAACTAGCGTGGATCAGGTTTCGAGTCATGAATTTCTTAAATCAATCTACGAGATAGACTGGGTTTAATGACGGCTTAAGAATGAGCATGTGTTCAGTAATCCCATCTGTTGGGTATTTTAGAAGAAAAGACAATAGCTATAGAAGCTTAAAAGAAGTGCAAGGTGTCTATTTAAAGTAGTTCAGTCTAGAGGAAGCCAGCTGGTTTGAGAAACGTCGTTGTTAGCTTCTACTTTGGGAATTGACTTTTGTCAATAGCATTTAATTGACGAAGTAAATGAGGCAAAATTAGGGATCGCAGAAAACATATCACACAGAGAAAAAGCAACCCTGTTATGGTGAAGAGATTTGCAGAAAGCAAAAATGGATAGGGGATTCCCTTGCGCCTAACAGATTATATAACAATGAGAACTCACAAAGCAATAACAAATGTAATGTATCTTCTTTTTGGAGTTCAATTTCCCTTTCTGAGTCCTAATCTTAGCATGATCAGCCTATATAATTAAACTAGATTTTTTCATGCATCAACAACTAGTCAATTACTTGTGGTTTAGGTAAGGTTTCTTTGTAATATTTCATGCCTAATCAACTTGTTTAGCTGGTGCCAACATCAGCAAAATTAAATTAAGATCAACTTTCTGCATGAGTTTGCCAATGTCCTTCCTGCTACCTGCTACCTGCTGAAGCATTGTTGCCACTATTTTTTATTGCTTCAACTTTGGTTTAAAGAATTTGCACTGCTTATCTTCACGTTAAGAACAACAGCAGTAAACAATTCATTGTTCTTCTCATAATTTAGCTTCTCTTGATCCTGGTCTTCGGCGTTATCTATGAGTATTAGTGCCTTGTCAGGCATCATTCATACTCGTTCAAGATCTTCCACTTACGTTACCAGAACAATGGAGCCTGTTCTGATACATGGAACCCTTCACGTGACTATCTACGAGGCTTGTAGGGTTTTTGGTTCAGGGTGCAGCAAGTTTTGTTGCAAGGTAAGTTCCTAATCTTCTGAGATTTGTAATGATATTTTTCGTTAGGTTGTAGCAAGTCTTGATGAAAGGTGTGTTCTCCATCTTGTGAAATGATATTTTACTGTTTTATATCTTAAATTAACCATGCTAAACAACCTTATATATATCTTCTTCCTGTTTTAACATATGAACTTCTTGCTGATTTAATGCCTTAGGAACACAGATTCTGAACTTATTTTAAGGTGACAAATTAAGCATCTTCTTTTTATGTTTAGGTGTATGATTTTCTAGAGTCTATTTCCATGATGATTTTTAATATGTTGGAAAGGGAATTTTTCCAATATTTTGTGAATTACCTGGTGTGTTCTGTAATAGAAAACTATTTTCCTTTTCTTTTCTAGTTTTTTTTTTCAATTGAAAATCGGGAAGCTTGTTCCTTTGATGAAAACGAAGATGAATTGTTCCAAAAAAACGAGGAAATATATCAAGATAAAAATTATTTTTACAAGAAAATCAAAATCATAATTTGTACTAGTCATCTTAATATTTTGTATTTGTAATAATCTAATTATAAAATACAAAATATTATTCCATTCAAATTAAAAATTATCATGAAAAAGTTATATTGTTAATTCAAAAAAATCTTTATATTATAATTATAATAAAAATTAAATCCATGATAGTAACTAAATATGAAAATATTGGATTGTTTATTTTTTTTCATTTAAAAAATAGTGGAAAAAATTGTAAAGAAAGACTTTGGAAAACTTCTAAAATATGTTTTGTATAAATTTGAAAAACTGAAAAACTAGTTTTTCAATTTTTTGGATCAAGAAATATTATATTTGAACAGGAAGTTTCAGCTTTCCCTGGCTCTAGTTTTCCAAAAAAATAGGAGTATTACTTTATTTCTCTAATAATTCCTGATCATAAATTTTTTCTGTTCTCGTCTCAACATATGATTCTTTTTTCTACCGATTTAATTCGAAACCAGAGTTCATAAAATGTAAATAATGTTTCCTGCAGATATTGGAGAACATTGATAAGAATGTTGGATTTGGAAAGGGCTTCTGTAAACTATATGCTGGAATTTATTTAGAAGAAGCTAGAGTTGGCAGAACTAGATTGTTAGAACATCCTCACTCCGATCCGCAATGGTTTGAGTCTTTCCACATTTACTGTGCTCATATAGCATCTAATGTTATATTCTCCGTCAAAGAAGATAATCCTATTGAGGCAGTTGTGATAGGGAAAGCTTATTTGCCTGTCGCTGAACTCCTAGATGGAAAAGAAGTAGATAAATGGCTTGACATTCTGCATAAAAACCATAGACCTCCGCATAAAGGTTCAAAGATTCATGTAAAAGTGCAGTTCTTTGATGCCACTAAACGGCATTATTGGTCTAAAGGGATTGGAAGTCCTAAATTTCCAGGTGTCCCATACACATTCTTTAGTCAAAGAAGTGGTTGCAGAGTCACTCTTTACCAAGATGCTCATGTTCCTGATAAATTTGTTCCGAAAATCCCTTTGGCTGGGGGCAAGCTTCATGAACAACACCGTTGCTGGGAAGATATCTTCGATGCCATTTTCAATGCAAAGCATCTTATTTACATCACAGGGTGGTCTGTATTTACTAAAATTACTTTGGTAAGGGACCCAACGAGGCAAAAACCAGGAGGAGACATGATCCTAGGTGAGCTACTGAAGAAAAAGGCCAACGAAGGTGTTAGGGTTTTGATGCTCGTTTGGGATGACAGAACTTCAGTGAAGTTGCTTAAGAGGGATGGATTGATGGCTACACATGATGAGGATACAGGGAGTTATTTCCATAACACAAAAGTCCATTGTGTATTGTGCCCTCGTAGCCCTGATGATGGACAGAGCATTGTACAAGGCATAGAGATTTCTACAATGTTCACTCATCACCAGAAGACTCTGGTGGTGGATAGTGAATTGCCTGGTGGAGAACTACCAAAGAGGAGGATCGTGAGTTTCATTGGTGGTATTGACCTTTGTGACGGGAGATATGACACTCCATCTCATCCGATTTTCAGGACTTTGGATACAGTACACCACAACGATTTTCGTCAGCCTAATTTCGCAGGTGCCTCAATTCATAAAGGAGGGCCAAGGGAGCCTTGGCATGACGTTCATTGTCGGTTAGAAGGATCCATTGCTTGGGATGTCTTGGTCAATTTTGAACAGAGATGGAGAAAGCAAGGTAAGAAGGACTTGCTTCTTCAACCAAGAGAACTTGACTGCATTCTTACACCTCCATCTCCTGTTATGCTCCCCGAAGACCATGAAACATGGAATGTTCAACTGTTTCGGTCGATCGATGGTGGAGCTGCTTTTGGCTTCTCTGAAGCTCCTGAAGATGCAGCCAGAGTCGGACTCGTCTGTGGGAAGGATAATGTCATTGATAGAAGCATTCAGGATGCTTATATCAATGCCATTCGGCGGGCAAAAAATTTCATTTACATTGAAAACCAGTACTTCCTTGGAAGCTCATTTTCCTGGAAATCAAATGACGTAAAGGTTGAGGAGGTTGGTGCTTTGCATCTTATCCCGAAAGAACTTTCATTAAAGATTGTTAGCAAAATTAAAGCTGGAGAGAGATTTTCTGTCTACGTTGTCATTCCAATGTGGCCAGAGGGCATTCCAGAAAGTGGTTCCGTTCAAGCAATATTGAACTGGCAAAAGACGACGATGGAGATGATGTATAGCGATATAGCTGAAGCTCTCCAGGACAAGGGGCTTGAGGCAAATCCAAAGGACTACTTAACATTCTTTTGCCTAGGCAAACACGAGAGAGAGATGCCCGGAGAATATGTTCCTTCAGAGAGACCTGAACACAATTCAGATTACAGCAGAGCTCAGAAAGCTAGGCGGTTCATGATCTATGTTCATGCCAAGATGATGATCGGTGAGCTTTTCAATATCTGAATTCTCCTTTTCTTGTAAACTTCTACTTCCTCTTTTTTTCCCACCCTTTCGATATCGTACATTCTACCTACCCAATTGTTTTTGGACAATTGATTGAAGTTCTGAGGAATATTACTTGCCCAGGGTGATAAACATGGGACCCTTTCTGGGTAAAAAGAAAACTAAGAACATTCTCGTGTTTTCCCGAACTGAACCCATACAGGTCCTTTGAATTCCAGGAATAGTTTACTTTTATGTCATAACAACATGCCAAAGTCGAATATTCTTACATTTTGCAGTTGATGATGAATACATAATCACTGGATCTGCCAACATTAACCAACGATCAATGGATGGAGGGAGAGATACAGAGATAGCAACGGGAGCCTACCAACCATATCACTTAGCCACCAACCAGCCTGCCAGGGGCCAGATTCATGGCTTCAGGATGTCATTATGGCATGAACACCTAGGCCAGCTTGATGACACCTTTTGCCATCCTGAGAGCCTGGAATGTGTCCGAAAGGTGAATCACATGGCTGAAAAGAATTGGCACCTCTATTCATCCGAGGTATTGGACGACGATTTACCAGGCCATTTGCTTGCTTATCCCATTGGAGTTACCAGTAATGGAGAGCTCACAGAGCTTCAAGGGACAGAATTTTTCCCTGGCACCAAGGCTCGTGTTTTCGGGTCAAAATCTGAGCTGCTCCCTTCAATCCTCACAACTTAGATATTCTCTCTAATTCATGACCTTGTATCTAGTCAACAGTTTCCTGTACATATTTAAAATTGAAAATCAGTAATCAGATATCTTTTCCATTTGTTCTTCCAAGAGAGTAACATGAATTGTTTGTTTCTGCGTTATTTTCAAATTATTTTACGTTTCAAAAAAGCATAAATTTGTTTTTATAGATATTTTTATATGGTTTTGATATATTAATATAAAAAATAATAATAATAAAAATATTATTTTAATCCAACTTAAATTCGGAAACGCTTTCCATTGCAATATCTAAGCACACAGGCCGCTAGATATAAAACAGTATTCCTGATAAGTTATGGAACCAAAATGTCGTCTGAGACGTTTTGTCTTGTAGTGTATATTAATAGAAAATAAGGAGAAATCAATCAAGAAATCCTAGTTTGAGATGTCGGCCGTGTGTCCAGTTAGATACATATATAGACAGAACCAAATTGGTGGATAAGAAGTCTTTCTCAGCACACTTGATGAGAACTACTGCTCTAGGCTTGGAAATTTTCATCATCAGCAAGATTTTCCGGGCAACATATGAGGTGGGAAGGCAAAAAATCGTGTGGAAAACTGTCGGCAAATTTGTCATTCGATCCTGTTTTCCTAGTGGATCTCTCTATCAATCTCAGAGGTCTAATCCTCTCAATAATGATGCCACAGGAATTATGTGCTCTTCCCTACCCTTGTCTTTGTATTTAAAATTGTATGCGGGTGTATTTTGAAAGGTATATGTAATTTAAAAAGATATTAAATTATATTTTATTGTATTTTATAACGATTTTAACGTCTTGATATAAAAATAAAAACAAATATTTTAATATATTTTTAAATAAAAATCATTATTATAAAATAACATACATCATAATATCAACCTTAAACATGATCACCTTCATTCATATTCATGGAATATGTGGCTTTGAGTTGATGAAAGATCACAATCTATCTTCATTTGATAAATTTTCGTTATACTTGTGCCCTTATCATGATTGTTCTTTCAAGGAGAAGAAAGGAATCAATCAGAGTGCTGTTGAAGCACTGTAGATCCACTTTCCAATACGAGTATTTGCTTTTCTTGGTAAGATTTTCTATCATGGGGTCTTGTTTTTATAACATTGTTAGCATTACGGCCGAGTTCCTAATCACGTGCTTTTCCATTGGATTCTCTCCTCTTTCCATGGATTACGAGTTCCGGTTTATCGAGTTCGGAACCATCCGATTTACCGAGGTCGGAACCATCGACTCAAACCAATATGAATTTCTAGTTTTTTAATAATTATTTTATATATATATTTGATTTGAATTCGAATCAAACCTAATCGAATTTCTTTGTATGTATATAACGAGTATCTAAACTCCGATTAATAAAAGTTAAGTATCAAAGTTTTTTTATTCTATGAGTGATAAATATGATATAAATATAGTAAAATTATAATTCATGTTCTTGTTTATCTCAATGTTGTAAAGTCATCTAATAAATACATTTCAAAGTTCGAGATCCCTCTAGAAATAAAAGGAGTAAAATATTATTGGAATCCGAATGTGTGGCTGAGCTTTTTTAATAAATTAATTCATTTTATTGTTTTAACCAACCTCTTTTCTTGATAATGTGGTAAAGAAGACAGCCCATAACTAACCTTCATATGAAGCCATGGCACGAGTCAGGATCGATTAATTAATAAATCGCATTGGTTTATTGTAATGTGAAAAGCAAACTCTAATCCCATTTGCTCCAGAGTCGTTGTCAACCTGATGAGCTAGGCATCTAAGAGAGAGTAGCCCCCCTCTTCTGGCAAGGGATGGTGCTCTGATACATCATGGATGACAGAGGCTGCCTTGCATTTAACCAGAAGAGCATTGTAGCCAGTTGATCATGACTGCAGGAGGCACCGCCAGCAATCGCTTCCTTTAAAGCGTGAAAACACTCTCTTTGCTTTAGTTGTGTTTAAATTAGCCTTCTGTCTTTGCCATAATAGTTATATTAATGGATCTTCCATCATAATGGAAATCAAGCTCGATTGGCTCCTCCTCCTCCTTGACAGAAACAAAATGGTGTTTGCAAACAATTGGATATTGGGAAGCCAAAGAGAAATTCCTTGCATTTAAAAGGGGCCATCTTGAACAAAAATGTAAATTGTTTTGAAATCCTCTGGCATTAAAAGAAAAATAACAAGATGTTTGTGTTTCTGAAAGAGAGAGAGAGGGAGAGGGAGAGAGAGATGTGACTCCAATGTAACTCAATCCTCAAGAAAAAAAAAAAAACCTCTAATTAGAATTGGAATAATATGTAGTATCTAAGAAATTATTATGTCTGTAAATTTACAAAAATTAGGGATAAAAAAAGTTTTTTTATTCCCAACTTATAAATAAGATTATTAAACATGATTTGTAAATTGAAATTAAACATTTTAATTCATGTTATTTTGTTTCTAGTTTTTTTTAGTTACAACAATAACGTTTTTAAAAAAATTGAATTATGTTTTGACAAGGTTATTTGATTTTGACTTAGTTAAATTTTACTTTATTTATATTGAATTAATTTAATTTTAAATTCATCTTTTCGATGGAATGTAGTTTAATAATAATTTTTTTAGGATATCATTTTCTTGGCTTTATTCAAAAATGGTGTCGGGAATATGACAAATACAACTCTAGTTATCTACTAATTAAAACGAAAAATTATAAAACACGATTATAGTGCTTCATTGTTTTGAACCCCAAAAATAGATTATTTTAGAGCTAAAAGTCAAAGAGAAACATAAAACTCCAAGAACAATAAATCTTGTGAAGGATTTATTGATGGAATCTCACAATCAATTGGAGCATCAGAACTAATTAAGCTCAGTTCAGGGGATAAAAGCTAATTAAGCTATCTCTAGGTGTCATTAACCATCATTAATTATCGTCTTAGCAAACCCACCATTTTTAAACAAATCCCTCGACTTCAAAGGCGTCAATAATCAAGCACCACAAGTTACCTTGTACGAAATATAAAATAAAATAAATTTGCACCACTCACCATCCACCACCGGTGTGACTGGAATGTGACTCCACGCGCCACCCCCATTCCTCATTAGAATGGAGACCATACGATAAGATATTCCCCACCCAGTCCTCTCAACTCAACAAAAAACTGACATCAACTAAAAATATACTTTTCTTGCCGTGTGATACACAAGCAAATAATTGAAATTAAAAAGACAAAAAGTCAAAGCCAAAATCTCTCTCTCTATTCTATACTCACAAGATCCAATTCGGAGCCAGCCCGGTTTAAGGTTTAGCAGTTTGGTTATTTGATGTGTGGATTAACATATTAATTCAAGTTATATTTGAAAAAAAATGAATTTTTTTAGTAAAAAAATGAATTTTTTTAGTAAAATTCAATAATTAATTAAGTTGTGAATTGATATATTAAGTGAAAACCAAGTTTTATAAATATAATATAATTTATTAGAGAAAACGACTCCACCCACATAATTTATTCAGTTCACACTTCTTATTTTTTTAATGAAAATATACAAACCTATCCAAGGTTGTAAAAAATAAAATAAAATGAATTAAGGACTCATTTTTAACCGGTAAACAAAATCTAATGTTAATATCAAATAAATAAATAAAAACTAATTTTGATACCAAAAAATAGTCTAAATACCTTTAAAAAGTGAGGAAATTGTTTCATACTAATATTGAAACAAATAAATAGCCCCCAACCTCCCTCAGAAAAGAATATTTATTATATTCACACCTTAATCACTCACCTCATGCTGCCATATATTTATTTATACATGTCCCCCCATGTAAAGAGTAAACACACCACCTCCCTCCTCTCTTCCCTACCAAAGCATATTCTCTCATATTCTGCAAGTCACATAACATACTTTATTCAAGTTCCCTTCTTGATTCATCAACCATGTCTTCTTCACTTTGCTCACAGGGAGTGGTCCTTGCCACAGCCATGGCTGTTTCTGGCACTGTAATTGTCCTTGCCTTTCGCCTCCAAAAATCACTCCTTCCTTCTGGTCAATTCCCTGGTGATCACCACCAAATTCCCCAGTCTTCACAACAAGCTCTAAGGTCCTGTATCTCATCAGGTAAAGAATATAGCAAGAAAATCTTGTAATGCATTGAACTTACACAATTTGCGTGTATAAATGTTCATTTTTTTACTTTCTTGGCTTATGGTTGCTGGGGCTCTTTTCTTTTCCGTTTCTTGAAGAGGGGAGGAAGAAGGGGAAGAAGAAAAGGGTGCACTTTGCTGAGGATGTGGTGGATCCAAGAGGGGATGGGGAGGAGTTTAGGAGGCAACATGAAGCCGTTTTTCTTGGTCAAAATTCTTGTTCTTCTTCTTCTTCATCAACATCAACATCAACAGAATTCAAGAAAAATGGTCAGCAAAGAAGAATGCCTGCAAACAGAGCTGCTCTCTACAATGGGATTCTTAGGGATCGTGGGGTCCAAAGATTAGCTTACTCTTGTTGATTGATTGTTCTTGTGTACAAAGTTTTGTGGTTTCATGTGTAATTTTCCTTTCCTTTTTTTCTTCATCTCTGTACACAGTTTTTTTTTTCCCCTTGTATATACAATTTTAACAAAAAAAAAAAGGGAGGGCGGGGTCCACAACCTGTTATTGTTTCTGATCATCGTAATTGGATATAGAGTGGATCTTCTTGGGGGGGGTGGAGAGCATCTTGTTTGTAATTTTGATGAGGGTCAGTGATGTTCTTGGATTTTGTTCATAAAAAAATAAAATAAAGAAATATTCTCTGGCTTTTCCTCTGCTTCTATTTATGATCTTTTCCCTCATATTAATTTGTGTCTCTGGATAAATCATGCACTACTTGTAGATTCCATGACTCAGATGGCAAATCAACGACCAGCTAAATGAACATAATTTTTAATTTAATTGTGTGATGGAGCTGGAATTTGGTCAACGCACATGCCATGATCATTCCTTGCTTAAGACCAGGTAAATGAGCATAATTAGGTCGTTTCAAGTTTTCTATGCAAACAATTTTTCTCTACGGTTTAGGTAATTTTAGGGTTT